TTCCGGGGCTGTTTGGTTTCCTAGCACAGCTGCTGGTATAGATCACGGTGCTGATTGTTCTGCCTAAGATTCTTACGCATCTTTGCCAGTTAGGGCTGGAAGGGTGCCCGGGAGATCATGTAGCCCAGCCCCTTCATTTTACATGTAATGAAACTAAGACCCTGCCTGGTTAGCTAATGTACTTGAACTCAAACATCTGGCAAATGGCAGAGCTCAGGACTAGTTCACCTTCTTATTCTTTGCTCTTTTAGCCGACGTCAAGAAACAGGACAGCCTGATGGTTAAAATACTTGAAGCGGGACTATGGGAGCCTAATGTCTAGATGTTATGAAATGTTTTTAAAAATGCTTGAAATGCATTGTATTCTTTTTTCATCAGTCCTGCTCATACTTATATATTTTTTCCAAAATATGGTTCAAGAGTCCTCTTATCCCAGAAGCCCCCTAAGCATTCCCGTGCTGACTTAGTAACTTCCTCTTCTTTACTCTGTAAATGTACAAAGACACTGTGTACATTCCTGCATTATAATAGTTATTGTATTGTATTATATTTATGTATTCAACTATGCATCTGTCTTCTTCCTTCCCACCCACTGGACTGAGCTTCCGGGAGTAGCAATAGTATCTTCTTGGACTTCAGTCCCTAGCACTTGGCAAAGAATCTGGCATTTTGTGTGCCCTCCATGTTTTAGGAATGAATGAATGGATGAACCATTCTCTCCTAGTCTTTCACTATCAATGAATGTTATATTTTATTGCATGTAAAAATTACCTGGAGTTGTTGGTTTAAAATGCAGCTTCCAGGCCACACCACAGAGATGCTGATTCAGGACAGGGGAAAGGTTGAGGAGTCTGCATTTTTATTAAGCAGCTGATGATTTGATGCAAAATGGTCCTTAGGTTACACTTGGCAAGCTCTGCTCTCCCATTAGTTTCACTGGTACTTGCTCCCAACTGTATATATCCCAATTATCTGTCCATCTAACTAAACACGTAGAGCTTCCACCATTCTGACTCCTATGTAGGGGTGTCAACATTTTAAACAAACTCCAAGGCTTTTCCCAGTTAAATGTGTAGAAATAAAAATAATATGTATAGAACATTTTGAGTGACTAGAAGTAAGGTGTCTTAGTTTATCAAGGAAATATTATGACATTTCCTAGCATTATGAAAATTATGTTAGACATGTTAGACTTGTAACTTATTTTGTAGGCACATTTCTGTAGGTAAACATAATTCAAATTTTTTATTTTAAATGGTAAAATCATATTTCATCTATTTTATGCTAGTATTTACTTAATGTTCTGATGAGTATTGGCTGCTTTGGTTATTTTCAAATGTTTGCTATCATATACAGAGTTCTTTGCTCATTTCTGCTCAAATTATATTTTTGTTTGTATGAATTCCATGAGGTATATTCTTCAAAGTGAAATCATTAGAGGAAAGAGTAACGACAGTTTTAAAGTTCTTGTTGCATATTACAGTATTGCTTTTCAGAGACACTGAACCAGTATACAGCCCACAGTGGTGCAGGGCATGGTGGTTTTCCCCCAAGATTGACCAACATGTAATTTTATCATTCCAGCCTATTTTTGCTAGTTCAATATGAGTGTAGAGTTTCTCCAGAGATATTTTATTGTGAAGTTCTTTAAGTGATACGAAGCAATTCTTTCCCACATGAGATAAATAACAATTTTCATTTTAAGTATAAACAGTTCATCTTCTATTGACAGTTTGAAGGGATAGGTGTAACTTCCTTTTGCAGAATTGATTCTGTAGAAACAGGAAATAGGATCCTTAGGAACTAGGCCAGCTCAATATGTCAAGGAAGGTCAGTTGTATAGATCTGAGTTAGAAAGCTTATGTGAAGGCTGCAACAAAAAGACCAGCTGACTCTGTTTAAGGAAGATTGGCGAGTGAAAACAATATAATTTCATGATGAAAAAAGTATTGGGGCTTTGGTGTAGGATGAGAGATTTTGCTGCAAAATAAACACAAGAACCTATCCCTCCTGCCTTTCTTTGATATTCTCACACAATGCCACTTCCTTTCCTGAGCATTTTCAGATAAACCCATTTTGGGTAGAACCCTGTGGTCTACGACAGGAAGGACTTCAGAATGACCAGGAAACTAAATGTGCTGTTTGAGAGGTCTTGTGGGGAGGCCTTGGAGAGAGAAGTTGCAGGAGCAGTCAGTCTTATCTGTGAAGAGTCAACTTGGGTTTTTAAAAAAAGTACCTTTTCTTGGTTGTCTCAGTGTTCCGTGACTGGTCATCTTCTCAAGTAAGCAAACAAGTGGTTGCTGTGCTGGTTTGGGTTTCTGTGCTGCCAAACACAAGATACAATGTTGTTTATGTAAGATGGGCCTTTTGTTTTGGAGAGTGGTCTCATCTGTTGATTTTTTCAGAAATTGGTGACGGTCCAACTTGTAATGCAACTCAGCCTGTGGGGATCAAAATCTGAACGTTTTTCTCTATTCCTGGCTGTCATGCTAAATTAGACAATTCTTACCTTCATTCATGTCTCTATAGAATACACACACAATCACATTTGTGTCTATCTATCTATCTATCTATACCTATCTATCTGCTTTATTTGGAAATAATTCACATACCACAAAAATCCACCCATTTAACATGTGCAATTCAATGGATTTTAGCATATTCACAGAGTTGGCATTCATCACCACATCTTCTTGGACTTCAGTCCCTAGCACTTGGCTAAAATTGACCACAGTCAATTTTAGGACACTGTAATCCCCCCGGAGGAAACTCCATTCCCATTAGCAGTCACTCTCCATTTGTTGTCCCAGCCCTGGACAACTAAGGTTTATTCTGGACATTTTGTATAAGGAATCATATAATATGTGGTCTTTTGGTTTAGCTTCTTTCACTTAGCATAATATTTTCAGGATTCATTAATGTTATGGTATATAGCAGTATTTCTTTCCTTTTTTTATTGCTGAATAATACTCCATTGTATGATATGCCACTTACCCATTCATAAGATGATGGGTTGTTCCCACTTTTTGGCTATCATGAATAATGCAGCTATGAACATTCATGTATAGCTTTTGTGTGGAAGGTTTTCAGGTTTCTTGGATATATTCCTAGGAGTTCTGGGATATGTGGGAATTCTGTTTAACTTTTTGAGCAACTGCCCAACCAGTTTCTGAAGCAGCTGCATCATCCAACACTGTATGAATGCTTCAACTTCATATTCTCACCAGCACTTGGTATTGACCACTTTTTTTTGTTACAGCCATCCTAGTGGTTGTGCAGTGGCATCTCCTTGTGGTTTTGATTTCCATGTCCCTGATGGATAATAGAATACTTACTCCTTATCTTAGAATTTTTCTTACGCTTTTATAAAAATAAATCACATGCTTTAGGAAATGAACGAGTACAATGAACATGGGCTGCGAGAACTTCCTCTGGGGTTTCACACATCATTGCATCATGATATAAGGGGCCCCCACTGCCTGAGTGTGCTCCGGTCATTTTTTCCCATCCTCATATCCATTCATCATTCAGGATCCTGGGAAGGAGAGGTAATTGTCCTGTGTTGGGTTTTGGGCCCACCCTTTTGATTTGTAGTTATGACTAGGACTAGACAATGTACAGCAGGAGTGTGCAAAGCCTGAAAGGAAACTGAACCACGTTTCCTGCCTCTTTGAATGAACCACATTGCCAAGGTTGGGAGCCAAGGAGACCTTGTTGTAAACCTCGCTAATAATGTCAGGAACCTGTGCCAGTAATTATGCACTAGCACACATTATAACAGAGAAAACATAATAAGCTTTATTTATAATATTTAAATATTATATTTTAAAATTATAAAACTTAAAATGTATATATTCCTATTTGAAACAACAGCATGTTTCCAATACTCATACCTGATCTCATTTCATCCTCAATAATCTGTTAGTTTCTAGTCATATTCTACAGTGGCCTCATTGTGGTTTAAGCACAGGTTTGTGAACTGTCTCAGAAGCTAACCACTAACATCTGATTTCCTGAGAATGTGTGTTCTGAGTTCCAAACAAATGACGAGCAAATGAGTGCCTAAACGTCAACCTGCTCGTAAGCCGATGTTTCACTGGTCAACAGGCTCATGTTGGCAGGTGTGGGTGGACAATAGAGAACAATTTTCATGTGCTCCATTTGGCTACCAGGGATGTTGACACCAATGTCAGTATGGGTGTCTTGAAAGATCTCTCAGCTAGGAGCAGTTTGGAAAAAATGTAGTCCTTGGAATTGCAGGTACCATCTAAGGTGCCTCAGGGAGGTAGAAGTGTTCATTTAACAGTTCTCTAGTGTATTCTGTTGTAGCAGGCAACTGATCAGAAGGGTTTAACTGCTAGAAAGGAGAATGACTGGATCAAAGTGGCAGATGAGGGTTGAAAGGGCTCTAGTCAGAGACATATAGATGTTCTCATATAGGGACAATGCCTCTGAATGGCCTGGGAAGAAGGAGCCAAGTGCCCTGGACCTTTTCCTCAGCCTTCAAGCTCTTCTTTCTCCTCATGCCGTCATTCTTCCAGCAGTGGGCAGAAGCCATGACTGCAGGCATCCTGGTTTCTCTGAAATTCTCAAGGATATATATTATCGCACAAAAGTCTACCCCAGGCCAGTGCAGACCTTTTAGTCGGTTCTGCCCATTGCCCAGCCAAAGCAGAAATGTTATAACATGCCATCAAAGGTTGTATCTATAGCCCTGGCTGGTGTGGCTCAGTGGATTGAGTGCCCGCCTGTGAACCAAAGGTTGAATTCCCAGTCAGAGCACATGCCTGGGTTGCAGACTAGGCCCCCAGTAGGGGGCATCCAAGAGGCAACCACACATTGATGATTCTCTCCCTGTCTTTCTCCCCCTCCCACTTCCCCTCTCTAAAAAAATAAATAAAATCTTTAAACATAAATGTTTAAAGAAAAGATTGTATCTGTAATTGTGATGATTGTTAAAAATAATTGCTTCATCTAGATTTTTCTATTTTTAATCCAAGGTATTCTTCAGCGGACATAAGGAAACAGTTTACTCTCCCACCAAACCTTGGCCAGTACCATCGACAAAGCATAAGTACCTCTGGCTTCCCCTCTCTTCAACTAGTAAGTATGAGTTACAGCTTTGCTTGGGGATTGGCCAAGTGCGGAAGTACCCAGCAAATGCTTCCTGATTCTCCTTAGATCTTCCCCCGCTACCTTGTATGACTAACCACCATTTCTTAGCTCTGTACCTAGTTTTTAACATCAGACAATTTCCCTCTCTCCCTCCCTCAATCAGGACATAGGGTGCAAAGTAAAACTCCAAGAGCTGTGATTCTGACATCCCCAGACGTAGCGGACTTTCGGATTACTTGATTTCACCCAAATTATAAGTCATATTTTAGGGAGAGGGGGGATTAGACTGGAATCTTACTACCATTTGTAGCCTGCTTTAGTGTGAAAAAAATAAATGTATTCCAAAACCTGAAAAGCCAAGTTATGAACCTTCATTTTTAAAAATCGTTTTCTTGGAAATTTAATTTCCATACAATAGAATTCAGTCATTTTTGGTTGTACAGTTTAATGAATTTGGCAATTTGTAGTTGTTTAACCTCTACTCTATATAGGACAGTCTCTCCCCTAAAACATCCCATTGTGCCCCTTTGTCGTCTGTCTCCTCAACCCCCAGCTCCAGCCCTAAGCAATCACTAATCCACTTCTGTCATTATAATGGCGTCTTATCTGGAACTTCATATAATTGGATTCAGGCAATTCAAACTCCCATTTTAAAAACCCATTCCCCAGATACCATGATCACAAAGGTGGTTTTCCCAGAGCGAGGTTTATCCATTGTACTCAGAATGTGCTGACCGCTGTGATTTCCCCAAATGTGGGGAAATCGCCGGCATAATTTCTAGCCGTGGGTGACTGTGTTCATGCTCTCCCCTGAAAAGAGAACAAAAACCAAACCCACTCCCTCTCTGTATGGTGCCGGGTGGGTACTGGAAATATCAGGTGGGGGACACTTTAACAAGTACATGACTGTCTAACCACTAAGCTGTATGCTCGAAACCAATACAAAATAAAATTGAAAGCAAAGTGTAATTGAAAAAAAAACCTGAAATATTATAAAAAACACGCCCCCTTTAAAGTCAAAGGTTGCATACTTTTTAAACACCAATTATTGAGCATGCATATATGTGTTATATTACGTGAGGAGTAAATGCCAGACATGTGCTAAGGAGGAAGATTCTGATTTAAATAAGATGGTTTGTAAAACCAGAAGTGAGTGTTCATTTCCTCTGTGAGCGACCTACAGCCTCCACTGCACTCACTTCCTCAGGCACAGCACAGGGCACTTGTTTGCTTGTTCCGGCAGTTATCTTGCAGAGGTTAGGTTAATTTTTTTTTCTCACTTATTACTTCAAAACCACTTCTGCTCTTACAAATTTTGTAACCTTCCCCTGTTTCCTGTAGCAGCCATTTTGTCTCCTGTAACAATTTGCCCGCCGTGTGACTATGTATCTTTTAAAGGTATGTTTACTGGAATGATTGGTGCTTATTTCAGAAGGATAATTTGTGTTTTGTGTCATTGATGAAATACTACTACTAAAAAATGTATGGCACCTTGTACTGCAAGAGGTAGCTTGTGATGATAATTTTTCAAAAAATCTGTTTTATGACTTTGGTGGCTTGCTAGATTGCTCTTTTTGTCTGCACTTTACCTGCCTGTTTCAAAATTGTAGGTTATAATAAAAGCCTGTCAGGTGCATAATGTTCATGCTTTCTGATATAGCAGATAAACTTTGAACCAAGATAAGTTAGAAATGCTTTTTGGTTTAATTTGGTGCTAATATATGTTTTATTGAAAACCCCCAAAATTATTACTACATTTCTGACTAAAATGCACTCCAAATATGCAAAATTCAGTTAAAAAGTGACTGGATACACTTTTCTATCTTAAACAAGATGGGGAGATGGGGTTTGGTGCATTGCTTCTTTGTGAATTGAGACTGCAGCTCTATGCAGTCACTGTCTTGAGAAATAGTGTGGACTGTGGACATCACTACGGAGAGGCTTTCAGGAAGTTTAGCTAGCAGGCTTTAACCCCTTCTCTACAGGCCAGCTCTGACTCTAACGCTGCAGCCTTAAACTTCTTCAGGAGAAATCTTTTTTAAATTTAAAGTCTCAAAGGAAAAACTTGCTTAAGGTCTACAGGTGTTCTTTGGGTAGTTATGCTGCTTCATCCGTAGGTTTTGACGGAAGTAAATTTTGATAAATTACTTCATTAGCAGGGTAGTTAAGTAACATGTGTCTTAATGACCCATTTTCTAACAGCAGATACCAAAGAAGTAGCAAAAATCTTTAACTATACAAGAATCAAATGTTTCTACCTGCCATAGTTTATTCCTTGTTCTGTTTTCAAATGAATAGCCCTTAAAAATGTATCACTCTGGGTTATTCCCCTTTAGTTTGCCCAGCATCATTCCCCAGATCTCTACTCCAGCTTCAGCAGTCTGTTGCCCCTGGAGTCAAGTGACCCAAATTCAATTCCCACTAAAAAAAAAAAAAAAAAAAAAAAAAAAAAAAGCATGGCCTGCTTAGGAAATCACCCTGGTTGATGTTTACCTGCTTTTAGTGTTGTAATGTCAGAATGAAGTGACTGTGCTTCCCCTTGAGCCACCTTCCTGAATGAAGGTGCCTCCAACAGAAATCAGCTTACATGGTGATTTCCCTTTCCCGTGAAAGGGTTATTTCATTTCATAGAAAGATAATGGCACATCTCAGCAAGATTCATTTCTGGCAAGGCAGAAAAGTAGTTTATCATCTAAAGATTTTTAACTTGCACAGAGCGGGTGGCAGCTAGACATGGTATTTAAAAAAAAAAAAAGATTAATCTGAAGCAGCTTTAAAAAACTTCTTAAATGGAAAGCCATAGACTGTTCATTGTATTATTTTAAACAATTGAAAAGTAAGACTGAGTGCATTTTGACCTTTGTTTCTCTTACCTTAGTTTATATAACCACCATTTCAACAACTTCACATGCTGATACAAATGGTGGTTTAATTTTTTAAAAGTATTTAATTGTCACAAAGTTATTTAAAACCCAATAAGTTTGTTGTTTTGCAAGAGGGTAGAACTTGGAGTCAGATGGATTTGGAGTGAAGTATAACTGTCATTTAATAGGTATATAATTTGGGGCAAGTTACTTAACCTCTGTGAAGGGTTCAGTTTCCTCATTTGCAATATTGGTATAATAATGCTGCCTCCATTAGGGTATATATAGAAGGACATAATAGGTGCTGTATAAATAGTGACTAATATTGCTGTCTATGTGTTTGGCACTGTGGAGACACTGGGAGATTAAAAGTCAAGATGAAGTGCAGGTGGTTTTGTCTCTGAATGGCCTTAACATCTATTTGAGGTAATTCAGAAAATCCATACTGACTTCAAGTGTGGGAGCTTTTCAGAAGAGAGAAAGCTCCCACATGATATAAAAGGAGGTCAAGGCTTGATGGCGTAGGCTGAGGAGACTTACCGGAAGGTTCTCAGGCCTGGCTGCCAATCAGAATCCCCAGAACCTACAGAAACACCTGTGGCCAGACCCACCACAGAACGATTAAATCAAAATCCCAGGAATGGGCCCAAGCATCAGTATTTTTAAGTTCCCTGGGACTTTAACCTGTGGTCTCTCTAAAGACCTACACAGTGGGAGTATTCCAAACGGGAGGAAGAACATAATGAAAGTGAAGCTTCTTTTGTTGTCTTAGTTGCTCCAAGTTACAGAAACCATGGTAAGCAGGGACCACTTGCTGACTTGATGCATGTATCCTTATACAAAGATAGTGGCTTCTGTGATAAAGCTGATAAATTAAGTGAGAGGAAGGGTGTGCTTAATTTTTTTCTGTTTGATCAGGTTTTTGTTTTTTAAACTCTAATTGCAAATGTTAGCTGTGATGATTGTGTATACAAGCATTTTCAAAGTAAACATAATATTTTTAAATTTTGCATTTTTGAATATGAAGAGGAACCACCATTTGGAGTTGTTTATTTTTAGACATGATGGTAGAATTGTCCTAAACCTATTGGACACTCCTATCGGAGTACTTTGTGCCCAGGGCCAGAGAGAGTGGTCTGGAGTGGAGCACCGCTCACTGGCCTTGGCGTTCTCCATCGCCACACGCAGGCTGGCCAGATGCCCTCCGATGTCAGCCACCTACACGGGCAGACAACTCTATGTGTGATCTCCTCACTAAAATGGAATGGTAAAATACTAAAACTATGTTTTGATTATTCAAAGTAGAAAGGGGAGTGCAATATGCAAGAAAAAAGGGTTGGGATCTATGCCCTAAGGTGTAAAGGAGAATTTGAGACATTGTGCATGGAGTTAATAATCTTAACCTAAGTTTTTATAGAGGAAAAATGCTATTTTTAAAAAATGAGAATAGAAAAGTTTTAAAGTGAAGTGGAATGAATCAGCTGGGCCATAACGGTCCTGGCTGAAGAAAGAGATGTAAAGAACCACATCCTGGATATGTACCAAACACCATGGTTACATGGTTACATGACATGTTTATATACAATAACATTTATATTCAAAAAAAGCCTCATACTTTGAAAGTACTCATTTTTGTTATGTATTTAAGCTTCTGTATAATAACGCAACCATTTTCTGTTACTGCTAAAGCTGATCTAAATGGAGGATCACTTGATAAATATGTTCCTCTTTTATTTTCCTTGTACCATTGTTCTTGTGTGCTTCATCTTTCAAGGGATTAGGCTGTTCTTAGGTTTCATTGATTTTCCTGGAGGGGACATGATGGAAAATGAAGATCTCAATATAGTTTTTATGCAAATTCACAATGGAAGATAACTGAAAGAGCAGTACTCTGTGTGCTGAGCAGGGGTTTCATTACTGTCATTGTATAAAGCAGGGGAATCATATCTGCCCTGGTAAAAATAGATGGATGCTGATAATGGCATGTCAGCATCTTCCACTCCATGGCATGAGTGGAGGGTTGCCATTGGTGGAAGCAGGGAAGTATTGTTGACTCTAAGCCATGCAGTACTTGGAAATTGCTGAAGCCAGAAGAACCTACCTTCAGATCTGTTTGGTTAAATATAGTAGAGAGCTGAAAAGATTGTCAAGAATTCATTCATTCATTCATTCATTCATTCAAGAGATGTGTATTGTGGCAGGAGCTGCCCTAGGAGCTGGAGATACAGTAGTGAATATAGCAAAGGGTCTAACCTCATGGAACTTACATTCTAGAATGGGAGACATAGACAAAAAAAGTGTATCAAGGGGTTTTTAAGGATTTGAAGAATGAAACAGGAAAACGGAAGAGAGAGTGACACAGAAGAGGGACTATTTGGGAGGGCTATGAAGGCCTCTGTCTGAAAAGGAGACACTTGGGAAGAATTGTGAATAAACTTGACAGGTATCTGAAGGAAGAGTATTCCAGTCAGAAGGATCAGCAAGAGCCAAGTCCCCAAGGCAAAAGCATGTGGCATGCTCCAGAAACAGCAAGGAAGCAGAGTGTGACCTGCAGAGTAGGCAGTAGGAGATGAGATCATTAAAAAAGCAGGGCTGGGTCATAGGCCTCAGAGACCATGGAAGAACTTTGGTTCTCCCTTTGGTTAAGATGAAGTCTCTGGAAGCACTGAGCACCAGCCAGGCATGATTGGAATTTTTGTGAAGATTGCTTATAGGGATAAGAATTGCTCTGACTGCTACATGGAGAACAGACTGGGCTGGGTGAAGTTGTCACAATAACTCAGAAAGTAACATTGGAGCTTTGGAATAGGGTGTGGCAGTAGAGAAGGTGAGAAGTGGTTGGATCCTGGACATATCTCAGAAGTAAAGGGCATAGGATTTTCTAATGGATAATACACAAGGTGTAAGAGAAAGAGAGAAATCAACATTGACTCCAAAGCTTTTGCCCTG